GTGCATGCGCAGACGTTTTTCCGCGGTGTTGATGAGAAGCTGTTCCGACCGTTTCCGAAGGCTCAAAATGGCGGTAAAATGGAGTGACTTCATTGTGCGTCTTTACAGCCAGATTTCGAGCGCAAAAATAAACATGTCATTCTAAAAACTAAGAATAAATACAGCCAGAAGGTTCAAGAAATTGTATTGTACAAGAACATGAACTAAAGGTGATTGTTGACAAATTTATCGTCTGAAACATTTTGTTTATCAACTAAGCAACGAGAATTTGCGAATTTTCGTTTGAGATACATTTCTTTAAAAAAAACTGTGTCGCCAAACTGATAAAAAATTTTCGTGTTCACAATAATTAAACTTTAGGATTTATTCTACAATTTGAGTGGGTTAAGAAGCTTAACTTTTCGAGAGTTTTCTTAACTTTTGAGTTTGAATTTTTGTTTTGAATAATTTTGCAAAAATTTTCGAAGTCGTGTCCGTTAAAATCAACAATTTTTTACATGAATTATATTTCATTCCATACTTTCAATGCCAGGACGCTTTCAATTAATGTCTAGTCTACCCATTTGCTATATTTTCTCGTTTATTTTACTAATTTTTGACCAATTAATAAGCATGTTTTTGTTTTAGAAATTGAGATTCAAATTCCCCGCCATATTTTCATAATTTGGTGCATGCGCAGATGTTTTTCCGCGGTGTTCATAAAATGTGGTTCCGTGAAAGACAGAGCGTGAACCATTGCGTGAACTGGGAAACTCGGTTTTTCGCGCGAAATCGATAACGCGGGCAAAACACGCGGGGTGACTCGCGACATAGCGTTGTTGACAAGGGCCAATGCAAGCATATCACAACAAGAATGGCCAATTTGGAATTTACCTTCATACATTTCTCCTGTATTTTATTATATACCGGCCTAAAATTAAATGCAGGTAAGTTAATATAAAATTTACTGTGTTTAGATGTATTACTAAGCTATAAGAATAAATATTTTAATTATTTGATAGACGAACTTCCACCGCTTACAAATGATGTTCTTCAAATGACTTACGCGGGACGTCCTGTTTGTGCATACTTCAAACATGCAGGTACGATGAGAGAGATATATGCTTTCGTTTTTCTACCATGCACTATATAGAGGGTTACACTGCAGTTTAGTGGATACCAGATTACCAGTGCGTGCGGATACCCTCGCCTAAATGTAATTTGTTGCTGGTGTCCTCTATTAAAATTGCAGTTGTATCCTCGGTTGTATCAGTGATTCAGTGGTAATAGATTACAATTTGACTATAGACAGAGTGTGGACACTGCACACATTGCATGTGCTTACATGCAGTTACATAGTGTTATAATTAGGTACACTAGCTGTACATATAGTAGATGCTATATCATATTGTTACATATTGTATTTGTATGTGTTACATGCATGCTGTTACATAGTGTTGCATACTATTACAGACCTGTTGCATAATGTGTAACACTGTCATACATTGGGTTGCATGCTGATTGAATGAAATTTGAACCTATAACAACTTTAGTGTTACCATACATAATGTTAAACATTGTTACATAGTGTTTCACAGTTACATACATATATAGCATTACACACTATCTGCTACATTATATTCACTGCACACAGTGACCATACCCTAACCTTAATTTATTACGCCTTACTTTAATCCAAACCCTCTGATCCGGCAAAATCTTAGTCTTTACCTGTGGATCTATAAGGCACATAATACAAGTTAATACACTCAAATTAAATCATGTAGAATATTAGAAGTAAGAAAGAAATGCAATTAGATGTTTATTGTTTTTTTTCTTTTGTAAACTAAGCTACCTCGCCAGATTATGAAGAGTTGCTATTAAATTTCTTGAAGACTAAAGTTGCAGTTAAGCATTATACAGAATGGACAATTGGAAGTGTGAAGATTGAAGACATTCACCAGGTTTTAACAAAAAAAAAATACATTTTATATAAAGTTGTACTATTGGCACACTTGAGTTTCACCAATATATTGTGGACCCAAATACTGTACTAGGGAAACCATGCTTTTTCTGCCTAAAAAGGCACTTTGAGTAAAAGTGATACATTGCATGGTTACGCCTTATCCTTTAATCCCCTAGCTGGTTCCCAAATATGCTCATGTTTCTAATGCCCAATTGTTTCTGAGGTACCGTACATGATTGGTATGTTTGTTTAAGGTGTAGATAGATGACACACATCTTACTCATAACTCTTTTGTATCTTAACCCATGCATTGAGTTGCATTGTACCCTATAAAGTGCCCTAGGTACTCATTTTACTCTAATGGTGGACAATTTTACTTGTCAAATGGAAAGCCCTGGCATATGCAGTGGGTTAACTGACTAACTGCCTAAAACTGTACTCATTGAGTTGTATTACAGTACACCCTAATAGGGGTGCACCGGATAGTGATTTTTACTATCCGGCCGGATACCGGATATTTTATCAATTTGATTACTTGACATATATAATATATATTTATAAGGATTTTTCTCATCCATGTATTATTGCAGAAGAAGGTGATGCTATTTTTTTGAATTTTTGAGTAAATAATCATCAATTGTGGTTAGTTAAAAATCTGTTTTTAACTTTTTCCATTACATTCACATGTTTCCAAAAACTTTGAAAGTTTTTGAGCGATGGGATTTAGTATGACTTTTGATGCCAAATGCTGCGAATAGTTAATTAATTCAATTAATTATATCAGTGGCTAGCTTTTTCACATGTCCTTTTTTTATGTTTCAATTAACGGAAATTTAGTAGACTTCATGAAAAACAAATTATCCGGTATCCGGCCGGATAATAGTAAATATCCGGCCGGATACCGGAAAGTACGATTTTGTCACTATCCGGCTGGATACTATATCCGGGCACCCCTACACCCTAATGCACCCTTACCTACTTTATTTTTTTTACTCTGTCTAATGCCATTAATATGATTTTACTCATCAAGGGCAGAGCACTGGCACTCAATCAACGAGTTAACCCATTGGTGCACAATTAAGGCTCGATCTACCCTAAATCTTCTGGCATTCTAATGACAGAGTAAAATACTACTTGATTAAATTAAGTACTAAATTAGGATGAATTTGGGTGCATTGCAGCTGGATGGGTTAATTTAATTAGAATCTGTGAAAATTTGTAAAAAAAACCCAACAAAATAACATTAGACCTATTGAGTGCCAGTGCTCTCCCCTTGATGAGTAAAATCATCTGGCATTAGACAGCTAGCAGAATTATAACAAAGTAAGGCACAGTGCAGCTTAATTAATGAGTTATAAATTAGTCATTAAATTTTGCTATTAGGGATGGGTATACTGATTGAAGTAACATGTATATTTTTAGAATCGATCTGGCTGACTGAACCGGAACCAATTTTTAAAGTTCCGGCCAGAACCGGATCCGGCCGAAACCAAGTTCCGGTGCACCCCTACTGAACATATCAATTATTACCTGTATATGATACCATTAACCCTGTCTCCCAGTGCATACAATAGTGAAATTAATAAACACCCACCCTTAATTCCCATTGAGCGCCAGTGCTCTCCCTTTGATGAGTAAAATCGTCTGGCATTAGACAGTGTAAAATAATAAAGTAGCAGCTAGGACACATTAGTGCATTATGCATGCATGCCATGCAACTTGATCAATGGGTTAATAATAAATCCAAATTAGTTGCCTCAGTTGATGAAAAGCCTCTTCATTGGTTAGATCTCAACTAGGCCTTAAAAATTTTTATATAACTATTTTAAAAAATATTTAAGTACAATTTAAGTAAAGCATGGATTAAGAAGCAGTATAAAACAGTTGCACAGTATGAATATAAAGTTATAAACACCTCTCTCTAAAAGTCCCGGCCTCCCCTGTCCTAAAGTATGAAAATTTAATAAAAATAAAATGTAATTTATGATCATTTCTACAATACATCATCTACCTTGTATAAAAAATATACCATTGATATTTATTCAGTTGAGCCTGGATCTGCTTTTTTGGCCATGACAGTTGTCTAGATCGATATAAATTCAATTTATATTGTCCAGTTTCATTTTCAAATTGCAATTTACCAGCTTAGTGAAAAATTTCCGAAAATACAAAATAAATTACGTACTATGTTTATATAGATGTTTCCACCCCCCAACTTGTATCCAAGTCTTGTACCATCCTTGCAATGTGACATTGGTGTTGAACTTCCTTTGGAATTTATCTTTCAAAATAAATCCGTCAAGTCTTTGAAGAAATGGTTCAAACATGTGGTACGTGGACATTTGGCATGGTGCTACTGAATTAACCAAAGTATTTGTAACTGCAATTGACTTTGGCAGTTATAGGCATCATTGATCGAGCCAAACAAAAAATATTCTGTGGTTTGAGTTTCCCGACCTACGGTTGCAGTTGCCTGCTTACCTTCAGGTAATATTGCGGGTTAATTACTATGATTACGCCAAAAATACCATTGTTGTTATTGTTATGCCTTGTTTATTTGAAATGTTTCAGTGTTGTAGCAATGTCGCGCAGCTGATCACACTCATTGTTACCTGAATGTCAAACTAAAATTTTCAAAAAATAGATTTCTGTCCTACCTAGTACCTACCCTCATTTTTTTTAAGAATATGAAACCGTATGAAACCGGAACCACAGGATATTTTTGTAAAGTCCTCTTGCATGGGGTACTCAAAATGTCTGCAAGTTATATGGACTCCCAATTTTTAGCCATGCAATTAAGTTTTCACCAGAGTGTTAGATTAACTCAATTTCCCAAATAATTTAGTTCCACTTATCAATTTGTTGCGTGGAAATCGAAAGAACTGTTTAGTTCTCGGGAAAGTAAACATTTATAAGAGGAGGGGGTGTAACGCCAGGCTGTGTTTTAGTAGGTCTGTTACATAGAGATGTACAGTACCATACTGTAATGTCTTGCACTAGCTCCTGTTAAACATATACAGTATTTGTTTCTCAAGTCAAGGGAACATTCATCTCAACCACAGCTTGTGACTACTTCATCTGAAATGGAAAATGTAATTTTTAACAACAATGGAGGAATCACAGTTCTTATTATAACTGAGAAAGAATACTTTCACACCATGAAAAACACAGTGAAAAAGGTATGTGACATTGTGTACGTATGGATATTTGGTGTCCAAATTCATAATATATCAATCTTTGTTTATAATAGAGTTGAATGGAAATTATATATATACTTTTGCTGTTTTACAAAAAAAAAACGCTTTAACGTTTAGTTCTATTCAGTGAGATGACACTGGCATCACCTTACTTAGTATAGATATTCATGAACTATTGGGATTAATCATATCCTCGCGGCAACTATATTTTGTAGCTCAGTTGGTTGGAGCGCTGCTCTGGAATTTGCAGGGTCGCATGTTTGATTCGCAGCGGCTCCTCGTTAGGTCTAAAAGTGTATCTAATTTTCACTTAATTTCCATGAAATTTCCATGTATAAAAACTCCTAAATAAACATGCATTACTCATGTATATACAAAGTTCCAGAATAACAAAGGCCTTAGTCCTTACTTATCGTTTCTATTAAGCTCTAATAATACTAATGCACATGCGTAGGTGGAAAAATATCAAGTCAACGTGCCACTACATTTATTGGTAACAAGACCAGAATATGTGGACTCGTGGTAAGATTTGTCAAAAGTTCAGTTGAACAAATTATTATCTTAATTGCAGTTCTCTTTTAATTTCTTAAAACGCCTCATGCCTTGTACTGTAATTTGTTTGGGTAAGTAATAGTATGGTTTCGAGTGCAATACGAGTGCATGAGCCAGTTTTTCAAAGACGATCAAAATTGCTCGAGTACGAAGCATTTGAGGTCTTTGAAAAATTAATAAGTTTACATGTATGTTTTTCCAGATTGAACAAGAAACTATAATATTACTTACTAATATTTGCATGCAAAATATGTGCAGAAGCAAATTCATGGTTACTTGCGTGCAGTGCAAGGCAAGATGCTGAATGCTGGTCATGCATGAGTAAGAAATTTTCAAAGAAAAGAATTCTTTAAATTTCCCTAAATTTAAAAATGATTTAAGTACACTTTCGACATCTGTTAACTGCGACATCTGTTAAGTGCGAAATGTAGATATATGGAAATAGAGCACACTCAACAGAGCGTAACATCTGAATTACAAAGGTATTTTAGCTCACGAAATGCGAGTGAGCAGAAGGAAATAGTTTGTTCGAATTGTTAGAATCGAATACAACGACCGATGGCAAAGCTTCTTGTCAAAACAAAGAATAGAAGCTTCCGAGAGTCGTGGTATGCGAAGAGGGATCGTTTGTGAACAAATATCTATTTTGCTGGCCATGTCTATTATTTCACCCTTGGACATACACCGGGTATGTCAACATGATTTCTTGGGTGACTGCCAGAAGTACAAAATGTGACCATGCGGGTATGCATGCATGGATGTGTTGTTCTCGAGGGCAAGGCGACAGGCTGTGAAGAGGTACAATGAGGATGTCAGACACAACCGGGAGATGCTAAAAATATTAGTGAAGCTGTGCTGTGTTTGGATAAACAAGAGATAGCATTCAGAGGTCATGATACAATGTGTTATCAGATGTCCAAAATCTCGTCCAAAATGATTTGATTGAATGCAGATGCTGTAATCCAGAATCAAATTGATAAGGAAATAAGGGACTGTCAGTTCTTTAGCAACTCAGTGTGATGAACCATCAGGCGTCAAAAGCAAACCAACTGTTAGGCTATATAAGAAGAAATACCATGTTCATCAAAAGTACTGCACCAAGACGAACATTGTATCTTGCACTGGTTCGATCTCATTTCGGGTATGCCTCCCAGATTTGGGCACCGCAGACGATTGAACTTATTGACATTTTAGAAAGAACTCCGAGGCGGGCAACAAAATATATTTTGAACTTGCCATTCTCGACAGACGTAGACTATAAAACAAGATTGCAATCCTTGCATCTTCTTCCCGTATCCTACTGGCATGAATACCTAGACCTGATCCTCTTCTTCAAAATCGCACACGGTTTGGTGGAAATGTCTGTTCTTCCTGACATTCATATTATGCAAAGAACGACACGATCATCAGCAAGTAATAACGCTAAATATGTCGTCCGCAAATGTAAAACCAATACCTACCAGCAGTCGTTTTTTGTCAGAACGTGTCGAATATGGAACTCTCTCGTAGATGAACTAAATTATGACACGAACTGCTTCAATTCCTTTAGATCAGCCTTACTGGAATACTATCACAAATCTTTAGAAGTTAATTATAATCCTGATAATCCTCGAACATTTAAAACTATATGCCTGAAATGTAACTCTGTACGAAGTCTTACATATCCGATATCCTGCTGCTTTTAGTAACTAATATTGTTTGTTCGTAGGTTTGTTAGTCTGTCCAGTTGAATGTCTGTTGTTTGTTTGATTGTATCCAATTGGGCCCGCAGTAATTGGCAATAAGCTGTTGCGGTGTCCCGGCCACTCTGTGTAATTTTATGCCGGCAAAGTTAATAAATAAATAAATAAATGAAATGTTAGCACAGATCAAGTCCAGATCTGACAGAAAGGCACATCTTGGTGTTGATATCCCAAATAGTCCCGTACTGTCCCTGCTATCTTTAAAGGGTATGAAGCCTTAGAGCTTTGAATGAAATTAGAGATGCACCTCAAATGTGAAATGATGATATGGTTCACCGCCAAGATGGTCTATTCCAAATTCTTGAGTTCTTCCTTTTCTACTTTTTATTAGAGCTGTACTACAAATTTTGGAAAAGTCCTCATTTTGTAAATTTTCTCAAACATGATTTTCGCAATGAAATCTGCTATGGCCATTCTGAGAATCGAGTTGGGGCCCCAACAAGAAGATTGGAGAAAATTACCAACTATTAACAGCTTTATTGTGAAGTAATTGATACCATTGTTAGTATGTTGAAAATGTTTAGGAACGAACTTTCCCTAAGTCTCATGTTTATAGTATATTTTGTGTTCAATATATAGACCACAGTAGGACTTTTTTTAAATGTTTATTTCATTAACAAACGACGTTTCGGAGATTTACTCCATCTTCAGGTAGTTAATAGGATTACAATTTGAATTTTGTTAAATTCAAATTGTAATCCTATTAACTACCTGAAGATGGAGTAAATCTCCGAAACGTCGTTTGTTAATGAAATAAACATTTAAAAAAAGTCTTACTGTGGTCTATATATTGAACACAAAATATTGTTAGTATGGTTAATAACATAGACGGATTTTCATATTTATTACTGGGGTGGTGCCAGAAATTTTAGGGGGGTGAGCCGTGAGCAGGTGACTGAAGCAAGACAAAGTGTCACCAAACCCCAGTAAGGTCTATATTCTAGGGGTGGAGCACTAGAGCCGCGAGGGGGAGTCTAGAGAGCGGAAAACAAAGTATCCCAGCAAAAATTTGAAAAAAATCCTGATTTCTAGCTTCGAAAAAAAGTTTTTTGAAGTGGTCAATTTGTCATATCAATGGATTTGGCATGTCCGATTGTCTGTTGAGACTTGAGAGAGTTAAAGACTTAAAGTGAAATGAACCTGTAAAAGTGTAAACCCAATAGGCCAATACACAATATGCTTTTACTTTTATAAAACATTGACATTGTGTTGTTTGAATCCGATGCATTCACAGTAAAATTGAGAACTTACATGGACATTTTAGGGGTTGTCCATAATTACAGTATCAACTTTTTCACGGGGGGGGTGTGTTAATGCTGAAATATACGTACTTTAAAATGTTGATTATAGACTCATGGTCATAATTATTGAGATTCAAAATTTAAGAGTATGCTCTGGGAGGGGGTCGAAAGAAAAGAAGACGTATAAATAAACGAGAATGAAAAATATCAGAAAAGTGAAACTGTCCATGCTTACTGACTTTCTTAAGGCCATATAAAAAAAATAGTTGGTTAGCGTCCTCGCCCGCCCACAAAAAAGGCCCCGCTCAGGATTTTTTTTTATTTTTTATTTTAAAAAACCCCATCTTTTATTCATCAACGGGCTCTAATATATGTAGTATTTCTGTTGACTGTAGTTAATTGTGTTAATAAATTGCGAAATTGCGTGCGAAAATGACGGTATGAATCATATTTTGAAATATATAAAAAAACATCTGTACTGCGCAAGAAAATCCAGTTTTGGACCTAAAACCAAGGCGTTAAAAATTAGTAGTAAAAATTAAAAAAAAAACCACCCGCCCGCCCACTTTTTGGCAAAAGCTAAGGACGCTAACCAACTAGTTTTTTTTATGTGGCCTAAAATGTTTTAATTTTAACATAGCATCGCTCTATGTCCAAAATTGCGTTGCACGTTGCAGCAACTATTTCCTCTTGTAACATTATTTAATATTTGACGTTTCTTGAACGGGCAAATTTCAAATGATAGCTAACTCAAGTATTTGTAACAGTTGTAATTTATTGAATCCTAATTTCAAAATTTAATGAATCTTACCTTGATTTTATGATCACGTTTCAACACACTGTTGAATTTTATCTTTGAAGTTACAACTGTTCTGTATCAACTGTGTATATCATACTGTACTAGGCATTTACATTCAGCACGTATAAAAATGATTGTAGCACATATTTTTCGCTTCCTCTACATTGTGAATTAACCCTTTCATATCACGTTTGAACCGTTTCCGTATTTTGTATCAATTTGGTTTTATTTTAGCAAAGCAATCGCAGGAATTTTACTGCGAAAAACGCAACACTAAACGTGCGCACGACCGCAGTCAGTCAAATATAGTAATTTTCATTATGACGTCACACCTAATTAAGCTTACGGTCACAAAAGATGACGCGTACTTAATTAACGCGCTCTTTGTGACATCATTGCAATCGCTTTACCTAAGTGAGTGGCCATTTTGCTTGCTTAAGGATTCGCTTCGCGAATTATCATCAGTGTGGATTATAATATAGCGGTCGGCAAACTCAAAAATTCGAAAACAATATAGAGACCGATAAATTTTTGGTTGTATTGGTCGTTCGGACTGCTTACCAAAAGTGAAGTGTGTTTGATCATGATTGGTCATGCGGGAAGTGATCACGACAAATCAATGTAAATATTAGAAAGCTGGCCGACCATTATTAACCAATGTCTGAGCAACTGCACACTTGAGTGGACATTTGTCAGACCCAAGCGAAATTGTCATAATCCACAGAATATCTTGTCAATCCATAGAATGTCATTATCCACACATAAAAATATAACTTTCGTTATCATCATTATAAAGACACACACCCCCATTTGAAGTGTAGTAAAGCAAAGTGCCTACCAGTGGCAACAATTAAACAAGTCAGTAAGAGATTGTACTGTAACAACCTGAATCCTGAAATAATATTACTTTGTTACTCATGACCTGATTGCCTGATCTCCTCTCCAGGAAACAGAAGAAATCATTCCGTAAGCTTGAAAAATATCCTGCTGTACTTCTCTTTACCTATGAAGGTTTGTGGAAATTTAATGTTTAATGACATTTTTATCTTTTGTAAATTGTTATTTGTTAGTAAAGACTTTCTATTGTTGATAGATTGGGCGACAGAGAAATCATTTGCCTACATTTTACAAGGCCAGCATGAAGTTTCTGCAAATAGTATCAAACTTGCACTTATGGCGATTGCTGCTAAATTTGTTTTCATGGATGAGGTTGGTTTAATTAATAACTTAATAAACTACTTAAAATTACCTTCCTTCCTGTTTCAACCTACAAGACTGCATTTTTCAAACTAAAAGAAAAACTGAAACAACTGCTGCAGCACCGGTCGATTAATATCACTACAGAACTAAAGTTATTGCTATAAGAGTAAATTATATTAATGTTAATTTAGTCCCTGCAAGCAAAATTCGTAACTTTGAAATGTTTCTGCGAAAATGCATCGTATTTTAGATTTTGAGGGCTACCTGTTGTCAAAATGTCAGGATTTTTCAAAATGTGCCTCATGCACTAATTTAAAAGGTATCTGCGAGCGGCACGCTCGCGCAGTTGAATGATGCCTATATTACGAGCATTTTTATGATGAATAATGATACCAAATTAACTATCACCAATTCAATATCACTCGTACCCAGGCATCTCTTTGTAAAAAACAGCGATGCGCATATGACGAGTTTACATGAAGTATTGTAGTGGCGAGAGAAGGGCGAAGGGGCTGATGAGAAGAGTGCATTTGAAATGCGAAGTGCTCCCCAGGACGCATCCTTCCCAACAGCCCCTTCGCGCGTCGCGCCCTGTCTGCCTAAATACTTCACGTATTATAGTTATTTAAAGCGCCTAGGTACGAGACAGCCAATTTCACGTGATAATATTAAATCACATATTGCTTCCGACCGCAGCACACTATTCTTGACGGTTGACACTTACGCTCTTGACTCCTTCCCAATCTTTAGCGCGATCTATATATATTCTTGTGAATCTCATCTTGCGTTGGTTTGGATGTCGGTTTGTCAGCTTGTCCTGCTCTAATTCCAATTAGGAAATATAACTATAGACCATCACAAAGAAAGTGCTGCCTCAAAATTGTTGTTCTTAATAGATAGATAGAGAAAGCGACTGAGCACACATTGGGCTATTTCGTGTTGTTTAAGGCGCCAATAATGTGCACTGCATTTCATTGTCATTTCATTTATGCTTAAACGCTCAAGTGCTTAAACGCTTGTGTCCTTGATAACATAAATTTTGGAAAAAACCCCAAAACATTTTAGATTTATTGCTCTTGAAAGAATACAATTTAGTCCAGATCGATCAGATAGTTAGAACGCTACTGAACATAATAGGCGCGCGCCGTACAATTTACGTCTATTTTTCCGTTTATTCCGTCCGCTAATTGAAATTCTCTAATTGAAGTGGGCATCCATTTATTACGTTCGCTAATTGAAATTAGCGCAAGCTTTAACGCAAGACATCCATCCAAATCGACCGGCACAAAATCGAAATCGCGACAATCTGTAGATCGCGTACCTACCGTTGGATTTGAGGCTTATTCGAGCCTTAATCCCTCAGATTTAATGCTTATATTCTAGTTGCCATGCTAAAACCCCAAATTTAAAGATTCCTTATTTTCTTTCGCTTTCAGGAACATTTTGTCCACGAAATACTAGATACGAAATATCAACTTCCTCCAAAACTGCTGTTCATTTTCTCGTATTCCAACCCGGATTCTTTAAAGTATTTCTTGACGTTTGCGAAGTTGCGTAAACAACTAGAATGTGAAGGTGTACTGTTAGAATTCAGGTTAATGGATATTGGAGAAAGAAATAATTCGCTAGGTAAAATATATTCTCTTTTTATATCTATCTGATAGTCCGTGCGATCTTTACCTCTGCATTTTAAAATATACAGTACATGTGACGACGACAACCAGTATATCAGAATAACTGCAGTGTCTCAGAATAGTGTACAAATACAGTAACTGGGGGTGTGCTAATCATCCTTATTTGCTAGTGTTGAGAGCTAAGCTGAATTGCGTAGGACACAGCTCAACCTGATCGAGTTGAAGGCTTTCTAAAGGCGCCTCTGCATAATGACTGCCACCTTATGACCGGCCATGTTTGATCACGGAGTACATGCACGCAGCTACATTGGAGGGTTAGTTTGAAGCTTACCTCAACCTGTCAACATCCATATTACAAGTTGAGTAATTTATGTAACCATGATATTTATTAACTAGCTTTATTATATGTAGTCTTTTCTAGACATATCAATGGGACAAAAATAAAGAGGTTTCCAGTTTTTGTGCTATTTTGGCAGGAAATGACCGAAACATACGGTATGATTCTGAAAAATTAATATGTCAGTTCAATATTATAAAATTCTAACGAAACGTGCATTAATGGATTGTCAGTACATTGAAAGTTATATTCATTGCCTTGCAAAGCATCACCTTTAAGCCTGTTCTCTACTAGCGAATTTTCTCGCGCGAAGCGACCTTTTTCCTTTGTCGGTATCACTTATTACGTCAGCAAGACGTGGCAAAATGGATGCCGACAAAGGAAAAAGGTCGCTTCGCACGAAAAAATTCGCTAGTGGAAAACCGGCTTTAGGGGCTTTAAGAATCTTCATTTTATAACACAAGACAAAATTTCATCCACATAATATAAGCCTTTCTTCGTATATAAATTCCCTTCGTCTATAAGCCCACCAATAATGCTTATGAACGGAGGTTTACGGTTAAGTTAATTTATAGTATTTATCATACACTCTCCTCATCTTCATTCTGTTTTGCTATAGAAATCAAAGTGCGTCAAGAAGTTCTCAATGACCTTTTGACTGCTGATCAATTATTGTCAGTGCTGGTTAAAAATAGAATTGTAGATGAATGGAAAAGAAATTATGAGTATCACAATGTTCACTGCATTGAAGATGATTGTCATGAAAAGGTAATGGAAGGTCACATTAATATTATACGATATATACCATATAACAGGCAAAATCAAATACAAATTACTGCTCCATGTTGGGTGGTAATTTTTCAAACTTCTTTGTGTACAGTATAAAGGGGATGAGTGTTGAGAACTCCAAGGGCTGAAATTTGAATCGTAAACCACAGAGCACAGCACACGATGTACCAATAATGTGGACAAAACCTATATGCATGTATATAATAGAAACTAAGTTCAGCAAAATCCGCGGACCGGCATCGCTCAAAGCTGATGCAGAATTTGCTTGAATAATAGGCTATTGTCAGGTTTTCATGGTTCGAATAATCATTGTTACAGCTACATGTTATTATCATTTACTTATTCATTTTCTGAACGTTGATTGGCTAATTTTCCTACAAATAACTGGTGAGAGTAATGGTCTGAGCATGCGCACTTTTGAAATCAATTCTCAGTGGCCAATCGATTTACGCATGCGCATTTAAGATTTTTGAAAAGCAATTCAAATAAACACAAAAGTAAACATGGCTTGTTAAATTTTCAGATATTGTTATCGTACAGATTTATTGAACTTCGTGACGGCCACAAAATTTCGAAAATGAATAAGTAAATGATGATAAAACAATCGTTATTAAACTATTATCGCAAAATATCGCGATTTGTCAGTGACTCGCAGATCAAGCTTATTTGCCTCAAATAATTGATCTGCTCGCCACTGACAAATCACGATATTTTGCTCAACCTCGTCCAATAATTGTATATTATTTGCTTTTTATTCACATTGTTCGTGACCACGTCCGTGTTCGAAGATGTGAAGTGGTATGGAATCCGATGTATGTCTCGTCTTTTTTGTGTTGTATGCAAATTAAGCTAAATTAATCATTACTGACTGTGGAGATGTATAATGACACTCTGTTACATCGGTCTCCTTGATATCTACACGATAGTTACAACTAAATTAAACCAGGATTAAGGAATATAATATGTACCTTACTGTACTTGAGACACCAAGACTCCAAAGGCCCGTGCCGCATCAGGAGTCGTATTTATGCTGATGTCATGCGAATGTATTGAGTCAATCGAAACATGTTTGCATTACAAGGCCTGACCTGAGACTGACTTAGAACTAAGCTTATCCGCCAATCTCTTTCGTTACGTAAAATAATTATACACATACGGCCGAGGTCACGGCATCCATATATCATGTAGATTGACAAAATAAATTACTATTTGCATGCAGATGGTTATATTAGTAGGTGGAAGTTTCGAACGAAAATTTATATACAATTTTAGACCTGACCAAGACCAGCATAAAGTGGCATGCGTCCTTCGCAATTCAGCTAATAGCTCTCAGCTGCAAATAAGGATGATTAGCACACCACACTTACGTAGAATACATAGCTGCTCGGGCCTACTCCTGTGAGTTCTAAAATTGTATATAAATTTTTGTTCCATCATATGAACCAGAAACCCATCTACATTCAGTTCTATGCTCAAAATCTTAATACTATTTGTTTGCCCCTGAGACTCTCTCCTTCGCAGAGGCTTTTAAAGGATTAATTAATCTCGTAATTGCGCCGCTAGAAGGTAAAAAAGATGAAAGCAACTTCCACTTTTTTTACCTTCTAGCACAATTACGAAATTCTTTCTAAATTAATGCTTTAAAAGCCTCTGCGGAGGGCTATTGGTAAAACCTGGAACCCGGAACAACGGAACACCATGACTCCGGAACACGGAAACACCAAGTGGTAAATAGTATACCGCTGGAATTATTGTTTGAAATAATTATTGCGTAAAACCTGCCTTCATCCTCACTTGCCGATAGCTACTAATAACGAATAGAAATCAGTCTCAGCATGCAGTGAACTTTACTTTTTTGTCAGCCAGATGGATAAATATTACGCAATAATTATTTCAACAATTCCACACACCCTGGTTTATTATTTGATAATTTTTAACAAATTAAAAGTTTTTGGTGTTCCATTGTTCCTGGTTTTACCAATAGCCTCTGCGGAGGAGAGAGCCCCTATTAGGAATACAAAATGTAAACAGAAATTGTAAAATTTTACATGCCATGCATGTGAAACGATTGTATCATATCTTTATTACATCAGGAATGTGTAAACCTTGCTTATTCTCGTGGAGTATGTAAAGCAAACACTACAATTGTGGTAGATGAAGATTACCTGATCAGAACTTCAACGGCAAGCAGATTACAGAAGGTAAATTAATAACATTATTTCTATGTGCGTGAACTAATCTTCTACATACTAGAAAATGTTTGTCGTGTATGATAGTTATTCTGGTGAATGTCAACGTCATCGAATAAGCACACATAAATTGGTTTCATTAATTTTCAAATCGAAGAGGAATTGTGGCACAGAGTAATTACGTATACAGAGGTCTCACGAAAAAACCGTAAGGTAGTTTTTACTGCGGCATATCTAGCTGGCGGCCATGTTCTTAGCAAGTGCCCTAAAGAGAGGCATTCACACCCCTGGAACATTAAATTTCAATATGTTTTCAGGGGGTGACGACCTGGCCCAGAATTACAAGCGTATAAGATAAAACGCAGTGTTTAAACCTTAAGCCTAATTCAACATGATTACGTTTGAGGATTGCATTTTTGTATTGTCGTGGTCAGATCTACGGCTAAGTTAACGGCTGGACAAGAAGCGTATACGTACTGGTGAGAATAGATGCGCGCATGAATTGCGTTCTATTTAACTTAATCCCACAATGAGTACAACCGTTTTTAAAAATGTATTAAATATATACTACAACTGCCACTTTTATACCTTATCGGAGAGGATGGCAAAATCATTTGAGGTTTGTAATGTTGTATGTTGATATAAATTTCGGTGCATGAATTAATTCAGAATTATTAAGATATTTATTTACTGTAGAAACAAATGAAAATAACTAAGAAAAGAAGAATTGGGAACTTGACAGTTCTCACTGATCACGACTGGTCTGCTGCAATAGAAGCTTCCAGATTGTCTACATCAAGGAAACGTTTGCAAAGAATGAGCGATTCTCCAGAGATATCTTTGGTATGTTAAAGTACACCTACCCCAGATACGATTTTTGGTATGTGTAATATTTGAGTCGTAGAACAATCTTTGCGTTAAAAAAGATCATCTTGATCAACTATCAAAGTTTCAAAGTTTCCGGATATGATGTCACTTAGATAAATGTTTGGAACAAAAAACAAAGGAAAATTTCAATTCATCTGATAACATATTGGGAAACTAATATTGACGAGAATGAGTTCGTAACATTTCGATTTTAGCAGAGTAACTAGTTACAAAATGGAAAAAATACAGAATCTTTAATATCGGGAACCGGAGTATAAATGAAGGAATACAAATAATGTGTATTGAATATCGTATTTATTTCTATAATTTCTTGAACATTTGGTATAAAATATCAACGTACAACTCTATACAAAAAAACTATAAATCGTATCGTGTTCGAGCCTATGAGTCGTATCGTGTTCAAGCTATACTGTAAATCGTATGACCTTTGTCTCTATAGCAACAGTTCTGCTATTGGTTGGCATAAATTAAGTCAACATAAATTAAATTAAATGTTTATCACATAATGAAACCAAAACTCGAAAGGCAAACCCCCAACTGGAAACCTGCATGTCTTGTATGCAGACATTGCTGTGTGCCCCGCTTTTCTTGATAAACGAAACATAACAAGAAAAAAAGACAACCAATAAAATCAATAAGTCCAAAAATTTCCAACTACTTGTATTTACCGACAATGATCGACTCATCCCTACAATGCTATTACCTGTACTTATATTAACCAGTATACTATACATATACATTGACCGTTCAAGTTACTGTAAGATCACTTTATGTTTTTCTTCAGGTGTTTTTCATTATCAAGAAGTGTCGCTATTGTGAAATTGTTATGCCACAAATAGAAAAACTTTCCCAAACAATCAGACGCTCTGGTAAGACAATGTATACATTTGGTGAACATGGGTCCCGCTACTCATTAGCGAAGTCCCCGAAGTGGGATTTTTTGTTGGATTTTCTGTCCTTTATAGCTAGTAAGTCAGTAGTAGTTCGTTCAAATGAACTGTATATTTATCGATTGACGTAAGGATAATGCGGTTAAAACTAAAAGGTGTGAATCAAGCAAGACTGCGTCCAAATTGGCGCTTTCTGGACTGTTGATTTTCCCGCGGTTTTCCGATTTTTGGCGTCGCCAAATCGCCAATACTGCGTGTTTTGGACTTTGTCCAGTTTATTATATAGTTCATGTTAATTTATTATGGTAATAGACTTTTGTCCAGTAACATTGAAAATAGAGAGGTCAGAGGACAGAACGAACACAAAACGTTTGGAGAAACAGGGTTTTTCTGTAAAAACTGTTGAGTT